CCCAGAAGCAGGCAGCGTCCCAGAGGTGGGCAGCTGTTTCCCAATCAAGGCCTCTCTGATGTCATGCGACTCTTAGCTCTCATTTCTTTCCTTCCTTATACCTCTGTGAACAACCGTATCAGAAGGGGGTCTGTCGTGCACACCCACAGGGTACACTTATTTGTGGAGGATTTCCCAGCCAACATTATACACAGTACACAGACAGCCTTATGCCTTGATTGATGGAACAGTGTGGGTGATACTTTGATGGTCCATTTGTTGTTTCATAGTCAGTTAGAAACAGAACATTGGTCAACTTCTGTTAGCCAGCTTAACAGGTTAGAGAGAACATTGCCAGAGGTGACCCTGGATTTGCTGAGCTGGTAGAGCAGAGGACGGGGCTGTCTGCAGCGCTGCCCGGAGGCCTTCACTCTTCAGGATTTGTTAGGTCTCTTTCTATGGTTTGGAGTACATGAGGCAACGATGAGAAATGTGTCCTCATAATAGGCGCCAGAGCAGATTCCACTGCAAAGGCTGTGGTTGCACAGCAGATTTTAAATTCTCTTGTGCTGCATAACGGGATTGCTCTAGATCACTCGCTGCGTAAACGGAAGCATCTGTCAGTTGCTGGCACTTCTGGTTGTGTTTGGAGGAATACGTTAGGTATTGTGGAGATTCGGTGGGAATGAATTAATGAACAGGCTGTTTGTTTAAAGCGAGTAGACCCTTGATCGAGCTCACTCTTTGATGGATTTGATTCGGTTTGCTTCACTCCGGAGGACTCTGGCTGGGAACACACTCCAGACTCTCGGTCCTGCCTCCCTGATAATCCTAATAGCAGTCTCCCTGGGCCCGCATCTCTCAGAAGCTTTCGGTGTTTGCATGCAGCATCTCCAGAATGTCGAATGGCCTCCTGTTGACTGAAAACACAGACACTCAAAGACACAATGGTCATGAGGGCGCCATAACCTGGGAATGGTGTGCGGTTGATGGCAGCGGCCGGAGGCAGAGGTGGCGGCTGAAGCGGCTGCGGGAGCAGCAGTGGTGGCGGTGGGACCCCTGCACCCCGCTCCCCCTGTCCCCCGTCTCCTGCGGCCCCGTTCCCTGCCCCCCCATGCCCCCTGTGCCCCCATGCTCCCTGCGCCCCCATGCCCCCTGCGCCCCCATGCCCCCTGCACCGTGTCCCCTGCACCGTGTCCCCTGCGCCCCCATGCCCCCGCACCCCTGTGCCCCCATGCCCCCTGCACCCCTGTGCCTCCATGCCCCCTGCACCCCCATGCCCCCTGCACCCCCACGCCCCCTGTGCCCTGTGTCCCCTGCACCCCCCACCCTCATCCCCTGCATGCCACCCTCTGAGGGTGATCCAGTGCTGTCCTGCAGGTGCCCCTTGGCATGAACAGCCTGGGCACAGTTAACAGTGGCAGGGGTCAGACAGGCTCCCAGATGGAAGGGGATAGTTCCCCGGTGAAGCCCCACCTTCAAGCTGGGGAGGGCCTGAAGCCTGGGGGCCGAGTAGCCAGTCTCGAGGACCAGAGGGGGAACTTGTGGTGCCTTTCCCTGGGCCGACCAATGGCCTCCCATGAACCAGTCAGCACATGCTTCCCTCTGAGGCCCATAAAAACCTCAAAGAGAGGATGGGGAGATGATGGGACTACCTGAACTGCCTGCAAAGAGGAGCCACCTACTCCAGGGTCTCCTCTCTGCTAGGAGCTGAACACTCACTGGGACACCCCAGCTGCAGAGAGGAGCTGCCCCTTGCAGGAGACCGAGCTGCTCTATTGCCCAGTAAAGCTCCTCTTCTTCTTGCTCACCCTCCACTTGTCTTCTTACCTCATTCTTCCTGGTCACAGGACAAGAACTCAGGACCTGCCGAATGCTGAGGCTAAAAGAGCTAAAACACAACTGGCTGGGCGCGGTGGCTCACGCTTGTAATCCCAGCACTTTGGGGGGCCGAGGGGGGTGGATCACTTGAGGTCAGGAGTTCGAGACCAGCCTGTTTAACATGGTGAAATCCTGTCTTTACTTAAAATACAAAAATTAGCCAAGCGTGGTGGTGTGCACCTGTAATCCTGGCTACTCAGGAG